GTGCCGCGAGTTCCAGGCCAGCCTGGGCTACATAATGAGCCCTAAACCAACTTGGGCTGTGTAGTGAGACCCCTTCCACTTGCAAACAGGAAAAATGATATTTTATTTTAATAAAAAAATCCAAGCCAGGCATCCATATGGTGCAGCTCTTGTGCCCACTGGCCTGTGCCCAGTTTCCTGTTACCCTTGTCTATGTAGTCTACCTTGCTCTGCATAAGGCTGATTGCCAGTAAACTCTGTCATAACATAGCATCTTATGTGAAGCTGCGAATGATAGACACAGTTTCTGAAAGGCCTTTCTGTGTAACTTAGATGAAGCAGGGCGAGGGAGAGTTAGTGACCAGGGAGCTCAGGAACATCTCTGACTATCGACTTTGCTAGGCCGGCTTACTCCTGTCCTTTGCTCTCCTTAAAAGGGCTGAGTGATTTATGAGGGGGAATACAGAGCTGTGGTTAAGGGAAGGTCTCTGCACCAAGACTGAGTGAGTTTATTTCTCAGCTTACCGAATAGCCAGTAACTTCTAACAGCTGCTAAGCTGCTTCTGAGTGCTGCCTGTAAAGTGGGACCGTAGGGATGCCCATTTCTGTCATAGTTATGAAGGGTGAAACAGTCAGTTTATGTGAAGTTCTTAAAATGGCAGTTGTACATGGCAAGCCTCTTACAAGCCTGCATTCAGGAACATGCAGTTAGACCTCTCAATTACATGTTTTCCTTCTCCTCGCAGCCCTATGGGATTGCTATTTCCATCTTTATCTGTAGGTGAGGAAATTGAGTGTTAGAGAGCCACTTTAGATAGATTCTAGTAAATCATACAACCTGAGTGGTGTTAGGTTTCTCCCCAGTAAGTCAGGAAGCCTATATGTAGTGTGGAAGTTCCAGAAAGAGAGCAAAGTGTGCTGTGGGTCTAGAGACACTCTCAGATGCGGGCGAATGTGTGTAGAGGAGCTTTGGAGGACAACTGGAGTTAGGCTGAGCAAGTGAAAGTTTGAGGAGATGAGGCATGAGGAAGACACAGCTGCTGCCCTGAGGAGTGGAGGAAAGGGAAAGTTCTAAAGCACCCACCCAGCAGTCAACAGTCAACTAACCAAGATGGCCAGGGCTACTGGGGTGGGAAGTGTTTATGCAGCAGTGTGAACGCCTCAGAAGACTGGAAAGCAAGGAGTGGAAAGCTGCAGTAGTGTGCAGTTTTCGGTCACGTAGAGGTCAAAGTGGGAAGAAAGGGGCAGCCTAGTAGACTGCTGACTTTCCTAACAACCCTAGAACTTCTTGTGCCATAGAAACAAACAGATGAAAACTTAGTATAATACATTTCTGCACATATATGTGTGTGTATATATACATACATAGTACACACACACACTCACACTCTCAGGCAGTAGAACAGGTGAGCAGTGGCTGAAGTGCTTAGAGTCCTTGGGATGCAACAGAGGCTTCCAAAAGTTGATGTCATCCATTATGGACAGAGAACATGAGCTTATTTCATTTTCTTTATATACTAATGCATCATGGGAAAATAATATAACATTTCACTCTGACCCTTAACATTTAAGCCATTAGGTGTAGATCTTGGCTGCATATTAGGATAAAGGAGGTTCTTTAAAAGAAAAATATTTCACAGGCTACACCCAGGATTGTCCATGTTTTTAAACCTACCAGTGATTTATTCTTATCTAGTAAATTTAGCTTTTACAGTCAGTAGGTTGTCAGATTTGCTGTGTACCCCAAGATTACCAGCTAGATTCCTCCTCTTTTGAGGTAGTAATAATGGAGTTGGTTCATGTCTGCAAATATCACTGTTAACTAAAAGATTACAAGTTTGGGGCTGGAGAGATGGCTCAGTGGTTAAGAGCACTGACCATAGGACCCCAGTTTCGATCCCCAGCACCCACATAGGAGTTTACCATCCATAACTCTAGTCCCAGGGGATCTGACGCCCTCTTTTGGCCTATGCAGGCATTGCATGACCTTTAGTACTGCATGTGTAAGCATACAAACAGGCAAACCACCCATGTACATAAAAAATAAAAATAAGAAAGACTGCAAAAACTCTGAAACTTTTTTTTTTCCCCTTTAAGCCGCCTGATGGCATTGAAACGGATGGGAATTGTCAGTGACTATGAGGTATGATGACCCTTGCCAAGCCTCTGAACTTGATTTCAGTAAATGAGAAGAATTTCTGGTAACCAACCCAATGAAGAGTAGTAACCAGCACATGTATCATTGTGTTTCACAGAGAATCCGTACTTACACGGTGGCAATCGTAGGTGTTGGTGGAGTTGGTAGTGTGACTGCTGAAATGCTGACAAGATGTGGCATTGGTAAGGTAAAAAGATCTCTCATTGCCTGTCCAGTAGGGAACTGTTCACTCCCGCAGCAAATCAGGTACAGATTAGCACTCTCTTGATCAATCACTGGTTTATTGATTTCTGTTGTATTTATAGAAATTGCTCTTCTCAAGAGGCTGAGTCATATCCCTCTCTTAACAAAGGCTCATGTTATTGCCAATTAAACAAAGGGTATTTAATTGTGTTCAGGAACTTTTTTGGGTAGTGTAATGTGTAAATAATTTGGAATTATTTTTAGATACAGAACCTGTGAGATACTGAGATATAGAACCTGGTTTTTGGGTGCCTCCCCCTGCCTCACCCCCCAAAAAAGACCATATAGATCCATAGTATTTTAGCAAGGCAAAAAGTTTACTTCTGCAGGAGGGTACGTAGCCAGGCCAAATCAAGCAGGCAAGCACACCCAATAGGGGTTCTGCTGAATTTTTATTCCTAATGTAAGGGTTCCTGTGCTTGCTTTTAGTGGTCAGAGTTCAGCCCCACACTCTTACATAGTTGGCTAATTCCAAATAGCCACAGTACAACTTGTGGAAAGAGGGTACAACCTTGAGCATATATTTTGATTTCAAGAAGTACTGACCCTGGACGAATTTAAACTTCTGCCAAGTGACTATAGTATTTTTTCCTAACTTATTATTATTTTTTTATTTATTCTTCTCTCATACAATACATCCTGACTGCAGCCTCAGCTCCCTTCACTTCTCCAAGTCCTCCCACAACAGTGTTTTAAAAAATTTTGTCTTATTAACCCTTTAATACAAAAGACAATAATATATTTAAATGGATAAAGTATGCAAATGAAACACTCGGATCCTGAAAATCTTATTATGTGCTCAATTAAACACAGAGATAGAAAGCATTGAATTCAAACTTGGGTATGTTTTAGATTTTTTTTTTAAGAAGATTTTATTTATTTAGTATACAGTGTTCTGCCTGCATATATGCCTGCAGGCAGGAAGTGGGCACCAGATCTCATTATAGATGGTTGTGAGCCACCATGTGGTTGCTGGGAATTGAACTCTAGACCTCAGGAAGAGCAGTCAGTGCTCTTAACCTTTGAGCCATCTCTTCAGTCCCCATGTTTTAGATTTTTTATTTAACCCTTTTTGTTTGATTTTAAAAATGGACTAGAATTGTAGAAAAGAAGTAACCCTCTACCAGAATTTAATCTGTCAACCTTAGGTTTATAAAACCAAGGACTATTGGTGTTACTTAGTAATTGAATAGATAGATACCTTTTCCACAATTATCTGCCCTATTATTTTCATAAAACATGTTTTTCAATATCATTTGTCAATAAGTTAATATTAAAAGATAATGGCTGCAAATTTGGCTCTCATCAATATAAAAATGATGCCAACAAAATACTTTAAATGCTTATTATAATTTTAATAACTTTGAAGTGGTTTACAGAAGCAGGTCAAATATTGCTTGCTGATGACTTGAGTACCCGGTTGATTGGTGGGATATTGGAGATGCTTGAGATCAGTAGTTAAAAGTTGAGTATGTGGCCATATTAAAACAGACTGCCGGACCTCAGTTATGTGGTTTTAATCCTGTAGGTGTCAGGTAAGCCTGGAAATTGTCATAACTGGTTTCCATGTAATCCTGACAGTGCAGAAACTAAGCACCGAGAACCATTGGAGCCTTGCTTGCCTGGGCAGTTGCTAGGAAGGAAGACTTAAGGTGCAGCACATACAACTGAATCAGAGTCTATCTTTTAGTAGACTGCGTATTTATGTTGGTGAAGTGCTTTTTGCCCCACTAACAGTTTCAGGTGATGCAGATGCTGCTAGATGAGGCTGCAGCAGTCATTCTTGAGGACTACTGTATTTAGAATCACCCGGGAAGACTTGGCCAGCTCTCATGACAAGTTACACCCATGATAGGTAACTAGAATTACGGCAGTGAGATGCAGACTCCTGCATTTTCAGTAACTCTTCCAGGGATCCCACTTTCTACCCAGGTTTATAAAACACTATAAACAGATAAGTTTCAGGAATTCCTTCTTCTGTCTGTAAAATGGATAAGCAAGAAGCTAATTGATTAAGTTAGTGGGGAAATGGGGGAAGACCCAGAGCCCGTTTCTTATCTCACAAGTAGCTGCCGCTCCCAGGATCACCAAGTCTGCATCAGCGGCTTTGCTTTCCAGATGTGTGGCAGGCTGGAAAGTCAACATCATTTCCTGTGACCTAAGCCAAGTAGTGGCAGTTTTACAACATCCACTTCTTTTCACAAAGCCAACTAGGAGTCACAAACTCAAATTTAATATTCTGTCCCACCTAGTAAATATTGTTGAATATGCTGTGATTTGGGGACTTGGGCTTAAGTAGTATCTTTGTTAGCAAGATATTAAAGGTTCTCTAGGTGTTGTCAGAGGCTTTTTTTTTTTTTTTTTAAGTTTCTGTATTGAGAAGAATAAAATTAGATTTGGGGATGTAGCTTAGTGGTAGAGCAGTTACCTAGCATGGATTAGGTCCCAGGTTCAATCCCCAGCACTGTAAAAAAAGAAAAAGAGAGACTAAAATCTGATTTTTATAGATTCATAGAACCTGTTCTTACTGATAAGAAATGTGATCTGGTCATTTTAAGTGATGTGTGTACAGTGGCAAACACTGAAGTAGACCCAAGAATAAAGCAGGAGAACATAGTTAACTGGTTGGTAATTCTCTTTAGAGTAATGATTTTTAGCTCCAGCTCGGTTATATGGTATGTCATACAAAGGGGGTTAAGGGAAAAAAAGGGAATGAAATAAGATCTTGGTACAGTTTTTAAAATGCACGAGTGAAATGGAACAGACTTCCCTTCTCACCGAGCCAGCCTGCGACGTCTGTAGAACGGCACAGCATTGGGTTAGGGGAGAGTTGCTGCACTGAGAGTCCTGTTCAGCAAGGCCCCTAGCTGCCTTGTCACCAAGCTGAGGATAAAAGGAGCTGTGCATTTACCTCACAGGACATTTAGTGAGTCACTAAATGAGACACCAGGTGCCGTGGAATTAACTAATGTTATTGCACCACTAACGTTAAGCCTATCAAATGGAAAATCCACTAGTTTAATGTCATTTCTCACTGAAATACCACTGTTTTCATTTTAGTTACTGCTCTTTGACTATGACAAGGTGGAACTGGCCAACATGAATCGACTTTTCTTCCAGCCTCATCAAGCAGGACTGAGTAAAGTTCAAGCAGCAGAGTATACCTTGAGGTAACTGCAATTGTAGCAGAGGGCCACAGCAGGGGGAACTTGTTAACTGCAGTTGTAGCAGAGGGCCACACACACTGGGGTCTTGTTTTGTGTACCTGATGTGAGCTAAGCTAAATATAAATGGATTTGGATTTTTCTCTATGAGATGCATATTTCATTTATGCAAAGAATTCTCTTACTTCTTAGACCTGGGTTGTGTGTAGGGCTACAGTGTACTTATTTTCAACTTTGCTGCCACTGTTTAACTGTGGAGCCTTGGTGTGAGACAGCACCAAAGTGATTGAGCATACATGCCTTTGTTCCAATAAAACTTGAGTTTTAGACATCGAAATCTGAATTCTCTTTTCATGTCATAAAATACTCTGAGAAAGATTTCCCCCCAACCATTTAAGAATTGTTCTTAGTGGCGTGTGGTGGCACATGCTGCAAATCCCAGCACACAGGAATTTAGGCGCATGTGAGGAGTATCCAAAATTTGAGGTCAGTCTGTGCTGCACAGCAAGTACTGGGCTAACCATGGCTGCAGGGCACGGCATAGACCCAGAACAAAAACCCAAACCACGTAATTCTTACCTTAAAGGCAGTACCAAAATGGATAGTGGGCCAGATTTGGCTTATACGCTATAACATGCCAACCCCAAACATTCTTGGACTAAACTAAATAAGACATAAATCAGGCTGTACTGGGATTACCAGCAACAGTGAAGACTTTATTCCCAGCATGTGGGTCGCTGTGTTACTATGGGAGCATTCTTGAAACCGTAGGAGAGTCCACACTAGGGTGTCCAGTGTTGAGCTTGCAGAAGGACATAGCCATCAAGTGCAGTGTTGGGCTGCACTGGTTGCTGTTCTGTAGCAGCTGCAGTGTGTGCCGAGGGTTGGGTACAGATGATCTGTGTGTTTTCATCCTTGAAGTGCAGCAACAGCAGCCGGGGGGAACTTGGGATTGTCTTCAGACCCATTTACATCCTCCTTCCTCCCTCAGCCCTCTCCTTTCTGCTTCTCCGTCCTTTTTTTAAAAACAGATTTTTGCCTCAAGTTTATTCGTACAAAAACATCATAGGACACTGATCATCTGCAGGTCGTGTGTAGATGTGTTACCCCAGTCCATCTGTCTTCACCCTGGCAGATAGAAGCCTTTTCTGTCCTTCCGTCCTCTTCTTACTAGGAGGGTTTGTAACATTTGCTTTTCCCTCTTAGGAACATTAACCCTGATGTTGTGTTTGAAGTTCACAACTACAATATCACCACGGTGGAACACTTTGAACACTTCATGAGTAGAATAAGGTAAAATTTATGAATATTTTGTGTAATGTCCCGATGTCCAGCTCAGTTAAACAAGTGCTAGAAAATATATTGACAAAATTTTCAGCTTTTAGGAAAAGTGGTTTATGTATTAGAATGTAGTCTACATACCAACATATATACGTTCCAAAAATAAAATTGGGGGAAAAAATTCCTCTGAAAATTACGATTCAGCAAGAAGCCCTCAGGTTTATGTTCTGTGCTCTACGCAGTATTTTATGCCTGCAACATTTCCTTCAGCCTGCCAGGACCTCTGCAGTAATTTTATTCAATTAGTTTTATTAAGTGTACGTTTGTAGGAAAGCGTAAACAAGGCAATGACACTTGCTGAGTTCAGTGGCACAGGCCTGAATTCCAGCATAAGTTTGAGGCTAACCTGAGCAACGTAGATCCTTTCTCAAAACAATAAAAAATAAAAAATAGGGTTGTATGCATCTTACAGTTGGGGCATTTACTTGGCATGCCTGAGGCCCTGACTTCTGTCTGCACAGGACTAAAGAACCAAACCAGAACAAATGTCTGTGAGAGCCCATAGGGAGAGGACAACCCCGTGAACAGACTTCATGCTTCCTTTACTAGTATGGAATCATTCATTTTCTGTTCAGGAAGTGACTTAACACTTTATATGAGGTCATTAACATTAAACACTATGTTATAATTGTGTTCAAACTTTTAACAAAAGAAAACTGACAGCACAAATAAAATTCAGTTTCAGTGTGTTTTGTGACCCACTGGGTGTGATGGTGAATGCTTGTAAATCCAAGACTGAAACAGGAGGACCCAAGGTTGAGATCTTGCTTCAAGAAACAGAGGGGAATTTATATGGATGTGGGACTTGGGTTTGTGTTTGGTGTTTTTTTGAGGTGAGATCTCATACTGTATGGAGCCCTGCCTCAGCCTCAGGTGCTAGGACAGGAGTCAGCCTCCAAGCCTTACGACAGAAGACATTTATTTTGTATCCTCATTGTTTTTCAAATACAATTTACTTTCCTTTTCCAGTAATGGTGGGTTAGAAGAAGGAAAACCTGTTGACCTGGTTCTTAGCTGTGTGGACAACTTTGAAGCTCGAATGGCAATAAATACGGTGAGTATTGTATAAAGGGTTGTAGCCCTGGTCTAACCTGAGTGTTCCAGCTAAAAATAATTCCCAGTTTAAACTGTTTTCACAGCCCGATTTTAAAATGTGTGATAAGAGCTTCTGGTCTCACCTGTGACATGTTAGTGTCTCACTCTCTTATAGATAAAGTAGCAGATGTTTCTGATGTGTGGTTTTAAAGTAAATGAATATTTTATGATACTTAGTCTAGTCACTACTGAGTGTTCATTACATTCATATTTTGTGTGTGTGTGTGTGTGTGTATGTGTGTGTGTGTGTGTGTGTGTGTGTGTGTGTGTGTGTGTGTGTGTGTGTGTGTGTATGCGTGCGTGCATGTGTGTGTGTGTATGCGTGTGTATGCCACCACATCCCTGTGGAGCTCAGAGGGCAACTTGCATGATTTGGTTCTCTCAGTGGGATGAGACCATGTGGGACCTAGGGATTGAATTCAGGTCATCAACCTTGGTGGCAAGCATCTTTACTGACTAAGCCATCTTGCTAGCTCACCATTGGTTTTAACTTTTTGTCTTATTAGGATTAAATATATAAATTGAGAATATTTCCTCAAAATAAAATATTCTTCTTTTGAATCACTTTTAAATGATTCTTATGATTTTTGTATTACTGAAGTTTTAGAAAAATAAGTTTTTAAATTAATCTGAAGAAATCTAGGAAGAGTGGTTTGATGTTATTGTGTCTGGAATACCGACACTTTAACTCAACTATTGCAGCTCTCCTCTCTGACCCCCCAAACCCTCAGAATCCATTTAGATGACACCTGATATTCCACAAAGGAGGTTGGCAGTAATCTGTGTTGTTTTGTGTTTTTCCTTTTTCCTGTTAAGGCTTGTAATGAACTTGGTCAGACGTGGATGGAGTCTGGGGTCAGTGAAAATGCAGTTTCTGGGCACATCCAGCTCATGATCCCCGGAGAGTCGGCTTGTTTTGCGGTAGGCATTGTCTTGGCTCACTGTCACTGTTGGATGTCTACAGTTCAGAGGAACGGGGGAATGTGCTGGGACACTTATTTGGAACATTTCCATTTTTTTTACTCTATTTTGTTTGAAATTGGTGTATTCTTTTTCATGTAGTGTGCGCCACCACTTGTAGTTGCTTCAAATATTGATGAAAAAACCCTGAAACGAGAAGGCGTCTGCGCGGCCAGTCTCCCCACCACCATGGGAGTGGTTGCAGGGATTTTGGTACAAAACGTATTAAAGTAAGTGAGCGATGGTTTTTCTGACTAGTTTTGTATACTTTTGATTAAAATGTATTTCCTAAAGTACTCTAAGAATTGATACTGTCAACTAAGTGGTTATCTTAAATTTTCTTTTACATATATCATACATACATGGATTTTTATTAGCATTACATGTGTGTGCCTGTATACATATGTGAGTATAAACATGCATACATGTTTATTTAAATGTCAGTTACTCCCTGCATTTGGAATAGCTTGTTTAATGATACAGCAGTCCTACGTCACTGGACAAGAGGGCTATATTATACAAATGCATCATTAGGCATTTTCAACATAGTGCAGATACAGTGAACTTCAGAGATACCAGGTCAAGTAACGCCCTGGGACCACTGTAGCATCTGTGATTTTTTTGCTGATTGAAATGTTGTGTGACACATGACTCTAGTGAGGTAAAGCTGTTCAGACTTTAACAGTGGGCGGAGACCAAGGCACAAACACACTTGTTTCTACTATCTTGCAACTCTCCCTAAAAGTCATTTAAATGTGATCAAACCAGAAGGACACTTCCTTTATCCAAAACCAGACTCTGCCAATGCCTGTTTTAACTGTAGCTAAAAATGAGGAAAACAGGTTTGTATGTTTTTGTCAGTCTATGAACCAATTTACTCTTTAAAAGCAGTGTCCGTTAGAATTCTCTAACTTTCGCTAGTTTCTACCCAACTTCACACTTAGTAGCCTAGTTGGATCTCCTCCGTCTCCAGTCTAATCACACACTGCAGCGTGCTAAATGAGGCGTCCCCGTATCAGAAGTGTAGCTCCAGCAGAGATCATAAGACACACATACAAGAACTCGGAAGTGTACATTAGGGCTGTGGTGTAAGCGCAGGTGGCCTGTCTAAACACCAGTAGGTACTAAGAACACTTAATAATATTGTACTAAAAGGAAAACAGTCCTGGCTACAAAAACACTTCTCTCTAGGTTGTACATTTAGGCTGTGCACACTTTTATCACTCCTGTTACATTACTGGTGCTGCACACAGCGTCTTACATATGTACTTGAATACTGAATTTATGTATAGTGTGGGTTTCTGCAAGTCAAATATCACCTGTTTTTTCTTGGAAAGGGATTATATTGTCCATCAAAGACTCAGGGTATTTGGCTCATACATGCTGTCAGAAGCATTCGTATTGTCAAACTCGTAAAGCTTTGCCAATCTGAAGAATAGCTATTTTAGTTTCCACTTACTTGTGGAAAAAGTTTGGGTACTTAGGTTTTTTTTCTATGAATGATCATTGTACTATCATCTACTGGCCTTTTTTTTTTCAGCCCTTCTTACATATTTAGAACATATTTTCAAAAAAGTTTTTTATTTTAATATTTATGTGCTTTGTGTGTGTGTGTGTGTGTGTGTGTGTGTGTGTGTGTACAGGCATGCACCTATGCTGCTCGTGAGAAGTCAGTAGATAGCCTCAGTTGCTAGTCCTCACCTTCCACATTGTCTGAGATAGGTCTTTTATTGTTTGCCTTTGCATGCACCAGGATAGCTGGCCTGTGAGCTTGCAGGGACTCTCTGTATTACCTCCCATCTTGCTGTGGGAGCACTGGAATTAGTCACGCACAACTGTCAAGGTTTTACGTGGATTTTGGGGATCTGAGCTTAGGTCTTCATGTTTGCATGGCAAGCCGTTTGCCCACTGAGCCACCTCCACAGCTCTCATTGAGTTTTCTGCACAACCTTCTATACAGAGCTGACACAGTTAGGGTTTCTGTTGCTGTGACAAAATGCCCCCTTACTTGTCTATAGACAAATGTGATAGAGGCATTTTCCCTTCCCAGATGATCCAGCTTAGCTAAGTTGTCAAAAAACCAACCACGACAGAAGCATTTCAATAGAGTGGCATTTGACGGGGGAGGACTCAATGGAGCTTTAAGGGTGTTGGGAATGCTCTTTGACTTCACCCCATACTACTTACATCAATGACTTAAGTGTAATTTTAGTTGACTGCATTTAAGACTACGTAGTTTAAGTAGGTTATATCAGTTTTTAAAATTAGATTTAGTATGACATTGCAGATTCTTGTCTCTTTTGGGGGAGTATGCATGTGTGCACATGCGTATGACGTGTGCTTTTCTGTGCATCCATGTGTGAAGGCCAGAGGGCAATGCTGTGTGTCTTCCTCTATTTCTTCACCTTTAAAATGACTGAATGAAATCTACCGAATTCATTAATGACAGTTTCATGCGTGTGTGATGTGCATGCTGATTACTGTAGCCTCTTCTCCGCTCTGTCCACTCCCCTTCTCCCCTGTCATCCCCTGCAGATGTCCTTCTCATATTCATGACTCTGTTGTTGTTGCAAGACCCTCTAAGTTTAGCCAGGGTCATCTGTACGGCTATGGGGCTTGGGACGTCTGCTGGTGCCAGGTGGGCACTCAGTGGGTACACAACTGCAGACAATGACTGCCCTTCCTCAGGATCCACCAGTAGACAGTAGTTCAGCAGGGAGGAAGAGTGGGACCCCATAAGCCTGTCCCTGGCCCCTGATTGACTCTTGATAGGCCCAGAATTGTGTCGGGGCATTGCAAACAGCCATAGCTGCTGCAGCATCATAACTGCAATGGTGGTGCCCTGTCCAGTGGACAGTAGTTTTAGCCCTTCTCCTTGTCTTATCTACTACCTCTTCTGCGTTCCCTGAGCAGTATGGCATGGTATAAGTGTCCTACTTAGGACTGAGCACTTAGCCATCACTTATTCTGAGCACTGTGAGCAGCCGTGAGTCTGTGTATTGAGTACTATTCATTGCAGAGAGAGGCTTCCCTCAGTAAGGCCCGGGAGCATTTGCTTATAGGTATAAACTGAAATATTTAGGAGACAGTCTCCTGCCAAAGGCTACCTAAACAGCAGTAGTCATTTGTCCCTAGGGCCTAAGACTTTAACCACAGGTTTCTGACTGCATCTATGGTACTAGGTTTGAATTCCCTTTTTTGGAGCAGGCCTCAGATCCAGTCAGGGAGTGGTTGGTTCTCACCCCACAACTCTACCAACAGTAGTATACTCTCCTTTTCTTCCATTCAGCCAATATTCAAGCAGCTACTATGAGCCAAGTTTAATAAATAAGGTGGAAAAAGTTGCTGTTTTCTAGGTTGTTGGCTAGAAAATTGATTACCTACTCCAATCAAAGTCTTTCTTAGAAATTCACTTACTTCTAGTACTTTTTTTCTTTATTAAATGTAATTTGATTTTCTTTTTTCTTCTGTGTTTTGAGATGGGGTCTCACTGTATATCCCTGGCTGTCCTGGAACTCACAGAGATCTGCCTGCTTCTGCCTCCCAAATGCTGGGATTAAAGGTGTGCACCACCATACCTGGCTAATTTGGTTTTCTTTTCCAGGTTTCTGTTAAGTTTTGGCACCGTCAGTTTTTACCTTGGATACAATGCAATGCAGGATTTTTTTCCTACCATGTCCATGAAGCCAAACCCTCAGTGTGATGACAGAAACTGCAGGAAGCAACAAGAAGAATACAAGGTATACACAATCAATCGATTGGTCAGGAAGTTTGAGGATCACATTGCTTAGGACAGTAACTTTGAAAAGAAACAGATTTGGAATATAAAATAAATGGATTCTGGATTTTTGTAGTTTTACTTAATTTAGCATACTTCAAAACAAAAAACCATTCTTGATTTTGGTAAGATAAAAGCCCTGTGTGGATTCTTGTGGAATGCTGTAGAGAACTGAGGAGTAATGATGTTTTGGTCCCCTTGCTTTATACAGAAGAAGGCAGCGACACGGCCCACACAGGAGGCTGCGCCTAAGGAGGAGGAAGAGATAATACATGAGGATAACGAGTGGGGTAGGAAGCCTTCATGCACACTTTTGCTGGGAGGGAGTACAAGACTACACAAAATTGCAGATAATTCTTACAGTGCTTTCTAGCGGGGTTGTAAGATGGAACAAAAGTAAGTGATTGCTATGGATTTCTTGGGAATGAGCACAGCCTCACATTTAATCCTGCAGGTATTGAGTTGGTGTCTGAGGTTTCAGAAGAGGAACTGAAGAACTCTTCAGGTCCCATTCCAGACTTACCTGAGGGAATTACAGTGGCATACACAGTCCCAAAGAAGGTATTTGTTAAATCTGATTTACATGTATGTAAATATCAGAGAAGAGAAAATATATATTTATCTTCTTTCAGCTTCATCTTACGTCAGAAGGCTACTGAGGTGTTTTCCATCTAGATATCTCTGCGGTCGGCCTTGAGGTGCTGGGAAGTACTCAGTGTCAGCATGGAGACAGGCACAGCTCATTGGAAACTGTGAAAGTAGAGACTTCCAAAAGTCCACCGATGCATCAAGTATAATAGATTTTAGTTAAATTAAAATGCTACTTTCATATATGATAATTTTAGCTACAAACCTATTTAAAAATGCTTCAGGAAAGGGTGATGGTATGTGCCTGTGATCCTAGCACATAGGAGGCTGAAGCAGATGTGCAGTTTGAGATGAACCCGGATGTGTAGTAACAGCCTGGAAGCAGAGGTTGTGGGTGGGAGGGAGGGAGGGAGAAGAGAGAGAGAGAGAGAGAGAGAGAGAGAGAGAGAGAGAGCACATGAATAAGCCTACAGAAATACAGACTTTCTCAAGTGAAGACATACAGAGCAGAGGCTGGAACCGCCAGACAAAAAGATCTACAAATAGGCAGCAGCTATTGAAAAGTTGCTGAACATTATTGATGATCAGGGGCCTGCAGATGAAAACCAATGAGGTACATTTCACCCTAGTGGGCAGGTAAATAACTGCTGGCTCGAATGTGCAGAAAGGGAGCCTGGGATGTCCTAATGCACTGCTGTAGGTATGCAAATGAGTGCATCTGTCTTGGAAAACAGAATGAAGGCTCCTTAGAAACTGAAAGGAATTACCATGTATGTGATATATGTGATCCAGCAGTATATACAGCCAAAATGTCCGTTGTGTGAACGGGCGCACACACACACACACACACACACACACACACACACACACACACACAGTGGAACACTATCCAGCCAGATGACCATAGCAACCTGTCATTTGTGATAAGACAGATGGAACTGGAAGTGATTAAGTAAAACACGATTGGCACAGGTGGACAAACACCACATGATCTCACTCATGTGTGGACTCTAAAAGGTTTGATGCTATAGAGTGGAGTAGTGCTCCCAAGGGTGAACGGGGGATGGAGGGGTGAGGGGCGGGGAAGGCTGGCTAGCAGCTTGTTAGTTACAGCTAATTAGGAACACTAAGCTCTGGCGACTGTCGTAGAAGGATGGCAGTGGGTAGTCACTGCTGTATGTTCAGAAAGACAGAGTGACTTTTGAATGTTCTAATTACAAAGAAATGATTTGAGGAGGTAGGCTTATCCCGGCATGAATACCACACAAAATATACACATACCATAGCTTCATGATCCACTATAAGGTTGTGTAATTTTTTTTAATTTATTTAACTTTTATGTGCATTGGGGTGAAGATATCAGATCCTCTGGAACTAGAGTTACAGACAGTTGTGAGCTGCCATGTGGGTGCTGGGAATTGAACCTGGGTCCTCTGGAAGAACAGTCAGTGCTCTTAACTGCTGAGTCATCTCTCCAGCCCAAGGATGTGTAATTTTATATTAAAAGTACACTCAGTAGAAATGTCAAGAATATTGAAGTTGCTACCTCTTAAACAGAATTTTGGTGGGTAATATAAAGAACTTTATTTTTTCCCCTAAATATTTAAAAATGTGTCAGAGAAAAATATGCTTTTTAAGCACGCCGAGCATGGGTGAAGCAAACTGTTAAGGAAAAGCAGTTTTGTATGGTTCTGTTGTCATTGCATCCCCCTTTTGTTGACAGCAAGAGGATTCGGTTTCTGAAGTAACAGTGGAAGATTCTGGTGAAAGCTTGGAAGATCTCATGGCCAAGATGAAGAACATGTAGACAGTGGACTGGCATTTGTTTCATTTTCTGTGCTTATTCTATTCCCTTGGAATTAAAAAAAATCAGAACTAACAAAACTTAGGGCTGCCTTAACTGGTATGTGAATCATTACTGAGTTGTCATGCTGTATGGAACACGTGGTTGCTTCTTGCTTCTCTCTACAACTGAATCAGTAATGCTCCTACAGAAAGGAGAGCAGAGCCAATCCCATTCATAATTTCCTGTTAGTTCCCTGTCTATGGACTAAGGCCCTGGACTGTAAGTAGTACAGAGGGAGGGTGGGATGTTTAGCCTGGCAGCTGTGGCCGTCAAGTGTCTGAGTGTCCAAATGGCTTCCTACCAGTTACCCACTACTGCTAATCTGACCAGGAGTGACTTTAGACAGTCAACCTATACAATAAAACATCCCTTCTGATGTTTCTCCATGAGTTCAAGCACAGTATCTTCTTCATTGGCAGTGTGTAAACCTGTGAGTTAAATATTTAAGACAAAGCATAGATAAACACAAGCTGTCTTTGTTCCTGTCTACGTTCAATTGTATGCTAATTTTCACTGACCAAGGAAAAGGCATTGCCTTCTGTAACAGAAATGCATGGAGTCACCATGTTACCAAAGAACAGGCATGAATGCAGTGTCCAGACCGTGTACATCATATAGACTGCTCCTGAATACTTCATTTCAACTTGATTCCCTGAACAGAGATGTTAGCAAGGCTTGCTCTGAGTAGTGGGCAAAATGAGGAACTAGAAATTAATTGCCTCTGCAGTGACTGGCAGGTATTTGTTCTTTGTGTGTGTGTGTTTGTGTGTGTGTGTGTGGGCTCCATTTCCCAACTGTGACCACTTAAAAATCAGCTGATGACTGACGTGAATTATTGATGATCTTTACCTTGAAGATATGAAATTAATCCTTATGAATGTCTAAGTTGTGTGTATTGGGAAATGTTAGCAAAAGTTAAAAGTATCATTCCTTACTTAGAAAATAAAGTTGTAGAGACCAACTCCAGGCATAAGTTTAATGTACTAGCTCGGAGATTCTAGGATTATTTTGTGTTTTTTTTTTTTTTTTTTTTTTTTTTTTTTTTTTTTTTTTCATGTTTATAGTGAAGTCAAGAAGGGAGTGTGCCTAGCTTTGAAACTTACATTTATGTTGCCTTGGTAAATTTTATAAATATTTTTACAGAACTTAGCATATTAGATTGGAAAATAACTTTTCAAATCACTAGACACGTTTTAAATTTTAAAAATGAATTTTTATTTTTCAGAATAATTCTTTAGAAATAGTGGTCCCTTTCAGGTTTGGTTAAGGCACAATACATAGAATCCACTGTCTTCTAAAGATCTGCTCTTTGTGGTGTCTTAGGCTGCACCAGATATCTGTCATTAGAAACTACTGGATTGTCATCTCAAAAATAGTAAGTAAAATGGCAGCAGATACCTGTTGATCCTGTTTTGTTCTCCCCATAGTTCATAGCCACAGAGACTAATGGCATCAGGCAGTGGATGGGAGCTAACACCACCAAGTTGTGAATTACCACCCAGAGATTTGGCTGGATTTGTAAATGCTATGAACCCTAATGAGAAAGGCAAGCAGTCCCAAAATACATTTAACATAGTGACTCTAGAACCAGAGTCTAGTTGGCAGTAAAGCGGTTAGTTCATCACTTTGTTTCTTATTGTTAACAGAAAGGTGGTCTGTGGTTCTGCTCAGGGTCGTGTATTTTCTTCTCATGAAAAATGCTCCCTGACACCCATAACCATGTGATCCAATAGGAGAAGGCAGTGACTCTAAGAATGTGTCAGAGAAGCTTTGATTGCCTCAAACCACATTTTTGTTTTTCATATTTCCCTTTCTGTAAAGGACTGAAGACAAGCAAAACTCGGTTCCTACAAATTGTTTATGAGGGACTTGTCTGAAAATGACCACTTTGCTGTGGAGGTGTATATTAACGTGAACATAATCTGAGAATCACATCTGTGTTAATGTGAGCATAATCTTACTGTTGGAATTAGAGATCTACATATAAATGTTGCAGTTGCTTTTAACTTAGGCTTTCTCATGAAGGCAAAGAATATACTGTAGGTACAGTAAATAATGAGAGAAAAAAATAGCTAAAATAATAATTTTATTACACATAACTTGAGATATGTAGAATGACCACCTCAGTTATAATGTGTGCCATAAGGTCACTTAACACTTTAATTTTTTATTTATTTTATTTTTTATTTTATGTTCATTGTTGTAAAGGTGTCTGATCCCCTGAAACTGGAATTACAGACAGCTGCAAGCTGCCCATGTGGGTGCTGGGAATTGAACCAAGGTCCTCTGGAAGAGTAGTCAGTGCTTTAACTGGTTGCTGGGCCATCTCTCTAGCCCCAACACTTCACTTTTAAAAATACTTTTGGGCTGGTTGTTGGTGGCGCACACCTTTAATCCCAGCACTCGGGAGACAAAGGCAGGCAGATCTCTGAGTTTGAGGCCAGCCTGGTCTCCAGAGAGAGTGCCAGGATAGGTTCCAAAGCTACACAGAGAAAACCCTGTCTCGAAAAACCAATAAATAAATAAATAAATAAATATAAAAATAAAAATACTTTTGTATAGTTCTCAAATCTAAATTTTGGAGGAACAAAGAATATGCTTTTTTGAAGATTCTTTTAGAGTACTGGTCACAGATTATTGAAGTTTTTTAAGGTGGTAAACTTAATACTATACTTTTAATTTATTAATCATGAAATAATCAGATTTTAAGCTCTGATAAATTAGTTGTAAAATCAATGTCTGATATATTTGTACCTTTCATGGGGGGAGCAAACCCCAAACTATAGGTTACAGTCATATTTTAGTTTTTTTCCTCATAAATCTTAAACCGCCCCCAAAAGCTGGAAGAAGAATCCTTATTTTGTACATTCCTGTCTAATTTAAGTTACCATAATAGCGTCTAGATTTTAGCAGTGCTTCTCAAACTCAGAAGCTCAGGAGTTATCCGGCCACCTGGCTCTCAGGCTGCCTCTGAGTGGGCAAAGGGCCAGGCCTTGCAGTCTGACTGTTAAGTTCTGGATAGCAATGACACTGGCTACTGCATTCCCCGGGAAGTAGCATAACACTGGGCCCAGCCTTCAGTCACCAGAGTTCTTCAACTTGATCAAACTGAGTAAACTTGGCCAATATTCAAGTCTGCTAAAACATGTTCAATGTTTATTTTTAAATAATAATTCGAAGTGTAGCTGTCTCGTACAAAGTACAAAAAAGAGAACTTGGCAATTGCACTTTTATTTTAAAAATGGAATACAATTTCTATGTCATCTTTATACTAATACATATTGGGATCTTGTAAGATTTAAAATTGATGAAAATTTTTCTATAAATTACAAATAAAAAACAATACCTAGTGTGGCAATATTTATAAAATCTATAAGAATATTTACAAATTTTCAGTATAACAGTGACAACTAATTGACTGAGGTAAAGCAAGATTGGTTTAGACCATTTAAGAAAGAAATGGAGTTGTCATGGCTGTTTTTTGTGTGTTGAGGACTAAATCCAGGGTCTGATGCATACTACCACTCTGTCTACTTTGTAAATTTTGTGACAAGGTCTCACCAAGTTGCCTGGGCTGGTGTTGAACTCATATTCTAAGCTGACCCTGACTTTGAGATCCTCCTGCCTCAGCCTGTGAGTATCTGAGAGTCAGGCCTTTGCCACAGTAATATCAGGATGGTACAGAGCCTGTGGTTGCCATCAGACACTGCAGCGCAGCACAGTGACAGACTTCCCTGGAGACAGCAGGGGCTGCTTAAATCAGCTTAGGGGAAAGGAAGATTCCAAAGCAAAGGTATGCGTGGTAGCATGCACCTGTGATCCCAGCACCCAGGAGGCCAAGGAGGAATGGTCAAGAGTTTATGGTCAACCTGAACTACATAGACTCTCACAACCACACAGTAAGGGGCTGGGGAGATGCTCAGTTGGTAAAGTGCTGTGTAAGCATAGGACCCCAGTTCAATCCCCAGAAACCCCTCTAGAAAGCTGGGCATAGGGATGGAGGCTTGTAATCCTATCTCTGGAGGTGGAGACAGGGAGATCCGTTACCAGGATGCCGGAAAGCCAGTCAACCTAGCTAAGTGAGCACCAGGTCACTGAGACCCTGTCTCAAAACAGAATCAGTCAAACAACCAAAAACCCCAATGGGTCTCAAAAAATAAGACAAACAAACAAACAAAAAAAAACCTAAAAAACAAGGTGAATAGCAACTGACCTCTGACCTTCATATGAACATATTCTCACACATTAATCCAGAAAAAGAAAAACAAGAATTCCTATCTAGTTTATTTCACTGAAGATTGTTCAGACCTTTCATCAACATCCCTTTAGCCCTTTGAGGTAGAGAACTGGGTCAGACCCCTGCTGAGAACAAGACCAGTGAATGACCAGGCTGAAGCTGCTCTCCAGGGAGCAAAAGAATCATGGGATTCTTAAACCATGGGCTCCTGCCAGCTCTTGTTGCAGAGACCAACCCATTCCTCATGCCATTAGCATACTGATGTCTACACCCTGGATCTCATCCCATAGGAAATGGGTTCTTTAATCAATTTGAACTGGACACAACAATTCAGTGTAATCCAATACAACTTCATACAAATACCAGTTAAATAACACTAAGTAGGAAAAATGATTTTCTTTAAAAAACACTGTTTTGAATTCAAATGTACCAGATGTTTGTTTTATCCTGAGGTATTCTTGCAAAAACTTGGCACTGTTACCTTTGTCCCTGGGGAAGGAAAATATTAGGAGAATGAGTTGTTTTAAAGATAAATGTGTCCCCACTTGATGACTGCCTTGAAGGAGCTTTTCCACCCAAAAGTGATGTCTCTGCTTCTTTTATTTCCATTGCCCTTTTGTACAGTTCAGCAGCCTTTTCAAAATTCCCTTCTTCATAGCTTTGAAAGAAAAAGACATGAGAATATACTTATTAGCAAGAAGCAGCTCTCCCTTCTAAATAGCCATTCTAGAGACAGAAAAACAAGTTGCAAGTAATTTCCCATTCCCACTACACTTTCTTCTTTGTCATATATGGGCGTAGGATTGGGGGCTATTCATTCAGGTAGACCAGTTGGCCAGGGTTCCCAAACTCATCTATCTACACTGTGGAATTACGTCTCTTGCATGTGCAGCATTAAGACGATGTTGTGATGGGTTTGGTTAAAAAAAAAAAAATGGTAACAAGTGTTGTTATCATCTGTATCCTAAGATGAACACACAGGAGTGAGTAAAACTCAACACACACTTAACTTGGCTCTGAGGTCAGTAAGTGGCCCCATCACTCCAGAGGCAGCCTGTAGTATAAGCCATTTTTACTACCACAATACACACCTCCAAAAAAGTAAGCCCTCTTTACCCTACTTTTGGGTATCACCTGAGGATCTAAAGCTAG